AATTTTACAAGTTGTCAATACAAGATTGAACTGCACCCCAAAAAAAGCATTGTGTTGAGCTGCATGCTCCTGTGCTTTGTTTTCTGAGAATGCACCTCTTGTTAACTGCAAACTGAAGCTGAGTTACGTGCGTCTGAAGGCTGGAATTCACACATCTCGGGTAGAAATGCTGTCAGTGCCGGGTGCTGCGGTGCTGCTTCAAGGGTATGTATGGGCCTGGTCTTGGAGAGTGGCATTGTACCTAATGCCCTCGCAGAAAATGTCCATGGAGGTGCTGAGTTTGTGTGGTGATCCTCCCCTTCTGCAGTTTGCAGGCCCAATACCTACAAAGTCTGCAGGATGAGAGTAGATCAGTTAAGCAGAAATCGTCAGTTCTTTGAGTTTAGGTTTATTGACAGGGTGGTGGGTTTTTTTCCTGGTGCAATCAAAATAAGCGTGGCAAAATCTGCCCCTACTTTCTGTACAAAAGCTGAGAACTCTTTTAAGCAAAATAACAAACTGCATGAGCGTTTATACTAGCTAAATAGGGCAGCTGTTGTTGGAGTGGTGTTCCAGCAACACCCTTTATTTCTTCTTAGAAAGGAGCTCCTGTGTTTTGCAAAGCTCTCCTCTTATCTGTACTCATCTGCACCTGATGCATCTAATAAAAATGCAGCAGATTTCAAATTTGCATACATTATTTTATAATTGTATATGTTCAAGTATAAGCCACTGAAAGCGTTATGTTCACATGATAATGTAGAGAATGCAGTGATGGACACCTTAGATTTTCTCAGATAAGTAGGTGAATTACAGTGTGGAGGTGAGAACCGGAACCTGAGAGAGGATGTTTCCTGCTGTGCATGGGAAGGATGGCTAGGATTCCCCACCTCTGCCAGGAGCGACAAGCTTATTCTATTTCAATACTGGTTTTTTTCTGTATGCTTTTACCTTAGGTGCACTTCAGTCTTCTGTCTCCTTGAACTTCCTAGAGACTCTTGGTAAAGGAATTGGATTTTCATTGTCTCTGTTACAAATTGTCATAGTAAAATCTCCTAGGCAGCTGCAGAGGGAGTGCAGGAGGGAGAGGGAAGCATGTGTGTGTTAGCAAAACATTTTGTATATTGCTAAAAACTTACCTCCCCGTGTTTTCTTTGCAATGTCTTATGGTCTGGTGAATGGTCAGGAACATTTCTTAAACAAAACTGTGATGAAAACATTTGGTTTTCACATAATGACATTTCGCTGAGGAAAGATGAATCCTTTCCAGCTATTTTAACTTCATTGTCTTATGTCTTTCATAGTGTTTTTGTGTTGGTTTGGTTTTTCTAAACTCCTTGTCTTTGTGCTGATACCTGACTAGTTTCTTTAGGTTGCACACCTAAACGTGTTTTTGGCAGCTTTGGGGGTGTCTGGCACAGTGCATGGTTGGAGGTGGGAGGGTAAGTGGCATCCTGGCAGTACTAATAGCTGTGTTTCAGAAGAAAATAGTTACAACTTCTGGCAGGTGAATCCTGATTTGTTATAAAAAGTCAGGGGTATTGCTAGTTCTCATAAAAGGCCAAAACCTTCTGCCTGCTGTGCAGTTTGGGCTGGCCCCCATGCTCGGCATTTCCCTTGGGAGGTGCCAGCAGCCCTGGCTCAGCCTGCCCTCCCCAGACTTCACACCCACCCGGATCCCCAGGACCAGGGCTCCCCCAGCCTGCCCAGGGGTTCAGCACAGGCGGGTCCCGATGCCGATCCTGTGGTGTGCCCAGTCCCTGGTGAACGATGTAAGCCACAAGCTGGCCATGGGTTACTACGCCAGGCTTTTCATAGGGCACGATGCGGTGTTTCCATGGCCGTATCTGTGCTTGCGACATTATCGTGGTGCAAGAGTATTACTTCATTTTAAGATGAATTTTAAAGGTGCTGTCTGTACTGCTCCAGTAGCTCCCACTAGTTTGGTAGGACTCATGCTAACATTTGTCAATGCATAGGAATGCAGTTAACAGTATTAACCTGAGTCTTTGGTCACAAGACTGCTTATGTGAAAAAGAATATTTTCCTCCTCAGATACAGTGCCTGGGTAGATCTCTTACTTGCATTAGTAACAAAATTAAGATGTAGCTGCCTTTTGCTCAGTTATTGCTTCACAGGCAGCAAAGCTGTGAGAGTGAGCTGGGTTGTTTTTCCATTTAATCATCCATAGAATTGTTGATTAAATTCCAATTGCTGAAGCTTTATTAATGATGATGATGTGAAAGCCAGGAAAAATGCAGCTTGATTTTTTTTTCCAACTCAAAGCTGAATGTGCAGAACTGACCATTAGAAGAAAGCCATAATTTTTTAGTTGTTATTGAGCAATTCAAATCTGGAATTACTAAGAGGCACTTGGAATGCCAGAACATCTTCTTCACACTTGCTTTTCAGTTTATAACCAAAAGCCATTCTTGCAACCTAATTGGCAGACTGTCTTTAAATGCTTTATAATCCAATTAACATCTAGAACAGTAATAAAGCATTCGAGTAAATGGAAGAAATTTGTCTTTAAATGTCTTGCAATACCATATTTGCAACAAAGGTTATCCGACTGTATTGCATGCTCTTTTCAATTGTTCTACTGATTACTTGACTTTGGAAAGACAACTGCTAATCTAACAAAAATATATTGCTCTTAATAAAGGCATACTGACCAGACTAAATTGCTGAGCTGTTTTCTGGGTTGGCATAGTGGGCCATTGTCTGTCCCAGATGCTTGTTAGTGTGTCATTTCTAAGACTTTATGACTCTGTTGGACTTAAACCAGGTGATAAAGCCAAGGTGAAGTACAAACCTTCTCTAGGTGTAAGCTCATACTTTGGAACTGATGTTTTTCTCTGCTGTAAGGAGGAAGGGAGTGAAAGCATGAATGCCTGAGCAACCAGGAGGTCATGGTTCTGCTTCCATCACCTCTCACTGCAGATTTCAAAATGTCCCTTTCTTCTCTCTTGATTGTTTAGAAAACTGCTCAAGTTAGGAAGTTGACACAGTGGCCACCTAGCTGAACATCCCACTTCTGGAAGTGGATAGTAGGGGATGCTTAGGGAGAAGTGTAAGCAACAGAGCATGTGAAGATCAGTTCTTCTGCCCATGCATACCCTTGCTGACTGCTCAAGACAAGGTTTACAGGGACTGAAGTTTGCATTTAGATGACCAGTTTTAATGTTACCGACACTTAGGATCTCTTTCTAGGCCTTTCCTACTTTGTTGCCTGTCACAGCATCCCTGAGGAATGAAATCCACCATTTCATAATGCAGGGGATGGTAATCCTTCTGCCTGTTTGCAAAATGTACCACCTTGTAATTTCAGAAGGTGGAAAGAATTGGAAGGGAGTTACCATCTTCAGCACATCACCATCTACCCATATAGAATGCCGCCTTTTACTCCTTCATGTGAGCTGGGCTACAGCAAGGTGTGGTAGAGCACTGAGGAGATCATGGACATGAGACAGTGAGGTCAGAAACAAGATCCACTTACGCTGCCAATAGACAGCTTTACTGAGAAACAGCATCTGATTTGGGTTGCTGTTTTTTTCCCTGCTTGATCTTAGCATTATTTGAAATAATTATGTTCCTGTGTGAAGTTTCTCCATGGTTCACTTCTACCAACAGATGCTCTTTCTGCAGCTAATTAGACCACGGAGTCTGCATGCGTCCTGCAGCCTCAGTGCATAGTAAAGGCATATCTCCTTCATTTGGAGCAGTAGCAGCTTTGCTTTTGAGTTTGCTGCTGGTAAAAAGGTGGTGTTGAGGAAGTCCTTGAATGCTGTCCTTGCATTTATGTGGGCATTAGCTGTTGCCTTGCTGTGGATCTTTGGCTGAAGCTTGGCTCCCGGTCTCGACCATTTTACAGACACTACCTGACAGCCTTTTGCTGGGCAGAGCAAGAGCATGCAGGAAAGGTGGGAACTCTCACCTGTTCACATGGCACTTAGGAGGAAACTTGCTTCCGGAATTTCAGATGTGTCACCCTGTTGAACTGATGTCTTTGGGATGACTTCAGCTTGACTTTGCGTGTGGGGTTACAGCTAGTAGAGCTTTGCAGTAATACTAAGCCTTCCTAGTGGAAATCTTTGCAACTCCAGAGAGTTGCACACTTGTTTTTTTTTTCCCCAAAGTATTTGATATGTCTCTGTCAAAACTCCTTTGCATCACTAGCCCCGTCCATCTGTCTTGTTTGTGTTGAGGATGTCTCTGAGGAGGCAGGATGAAGTCTGGTGGTAGGGAAAGAATTCATTTTGATCTGAAATTTCCAAATCTACCCCTGCCCTGGGCTGAATCCCCTATCAGCCACTGACTGGCTGTCTAACACAGCAGGTTATCCTTGGAGCATTTGCTATACAGGGAAGTCCATTATCTTGACACTGTTACTAGTTCAGTGAGGGCAGTGAGAGACACCAGGGTAGGGTAAAGAATGTAAACAGCTGAGAGGCGGTTTGCTATAACGCCTCCACCATGCCTGCTGTTGGGAAGGGCACTAGAGGGAAGTTGTTGCCTGTCTGGAGAGTGTTAGGTCCTGCCAGAGATTGAAGTACATGTTACCTGCACCTTACCTATGGAGAGGCAATGCTGGGGGCTTGAGAGGATGCTCTTACCCATCCATTTCAAGTACAAAACCGTAAGTCAGAAATGCTTGGTGAGAGTGACCCATCACCACTTGGTCTGTACAACACTGTTTCCCCTGAACATTTTCAGGAGAGTGCAGTGCTGTGCTCTCAGGATTTAATCGCCCTCCCTAAGGCGTCTTTGCGTACACAAGTTGTGGTTGCCACGGAAGCAGATTACACAGAAAACATTTGAGGAAAGGCTATACTTGCCAGAGGACAAGTTAAGCTAAACTAACAGGGAGGTAGAACAAAGAGCCTCTGGCATGGTAGCTGTAGGACTACTGCTTAGTAGAAGAGCTTGGGCAACATTTTGTTACGTTACTTAACAGTATGTGTGGTGGTTTTGAATAGCCAATTAAACGTCTGAGCTTTCTTTTTTCCCCCTTTTTGCAGCTCTCCATGAATTCCCCAGTGACATCTTCACAAATGAGGACAGGAGACATGGAGCTGTGGTCCTGCACGTCCTTTGTGTAAGTTTTGTGACGTTGTGTTTCTTCTCCTATGGGTGTGGACGGGGCTTGGTGTGCTCAACCGCAGGCTGATGCCACCTCCTGCCCACAGGGGCTTCTGCTCTCAGTCGTGGTTGTGAGTTTCGGTAACTACACTGACTATATCGAATTTCAGTTTTACATAGACCCCTCTTAAAAGCCATGGTGCAGCCCACGAGCACAAGCTCATGCTGTCATGTAAATAAACCTGCAAGTTACTTGACTTTAGCCAGACCGGTTTTGCTGAGGCTGTCAGGCTATTGTGGTCCCCTGCCCTCCACCCCCAAGCACGCTGTGGGGTTGGCAGGTTGAGGGAGGACATTAGTGTAATTGCCTTCAAAAATAAGTGAAGTCTTATCCCCAGAAGTTTCCCTCAGAAATCCTTTCAGTACCCTTATGACATAGATGTAGGAGAAGGAGATTGGAGAGGGTTTTCTATTTAAAAAGATTATCAACTGATTAATTCTGAGGGAAAAAAAAAATTTGGATTTCCAGAATTCCTCTGAGTAGTTAAGTTGCTAAAGTGAGTTTTTCTTCCTGAATATATTAAAGATCATGATTTCTCATTTATCAGCTGCAGAGTGTCCTGGATCCTCTTGGGAATTCTGGACGACAACAGACAGGCAAGGGATCTGCCTCAAAGTTCAGAAATGTGCTAAGAAGACTTCAATAGATGCTCTTTTAAAGACCTTACTAGTAACAAAAATCTGAGCAATTTTGGGTTTGGAGTTTCATGATCTCTGCCCCAAAGTATTCAGTGTAAATGGTGTGCACAGGTAATGCCAAAATTAAAGATATTCAGGATAAATTTCTTTAAATAACCCTGGTCTGTCAGTCCACTAGACGCTTAGCTAGTGTTAGAGGACCTTGTGTTCAGCAACTGTGGTACTGTCACAGGGAAGCACTGTCCCTAAAATCTGTTCCTTGGCTTTTGTTAGGTAGATGAAGATAATTTTTTTTTTTTTTTTTTTTTTTTACTCCTTGGGAGGAAGAGGCATTCTTAAGCAGCCAAGAAAATACCTGCTTCTAATGAATGTTTAAAAGCATTTAAGAATTTTTAGCCAGCTTAAATGAGCAGTCACCATTAGCTATGTGCAGTGATTCATGATTTCTTTTAAAATATGAATTAGATTGTATTGCATGTTGTAATGTGAGTGCTCTGTGTTGTGATTTTATTTCGGCTAAACAGCTGCAAAAATTTGTTGAGTAACATCACTATTAACTTTGGCTAGCTCAGGGCTTCTAAGTTTCCATGGAAACATTGAGCTTTGAGATGTTTTGGAAAGTGAGCAATGGACTCTAGCTGGATTTTTATCACCCACAAGACCACTCCCCAAAATTTATATAAGCCCTCTCACAAAGCAGTGTCGTGCAGCAGCTAGTCACACAGAGTCTCTCTGCAGCTGGTGGAGAGACCTTCAGAGGATCTCCAGCGCCACTGATGTAGGTATGGGGTGAAGTGGCAGGTTGGGTTTCATCTGCCTGGCCCTGGTCAAATCTGCTGATTCCCCCCATGGGTTGTTCTGCCTGGCAACAGAGCAGGATTGTCCTAATTGGCTGCAGCCCCTGTGCTGTGGGGATCAGTGTCACATGGAGTGGCTCTTGCACATCCCTGGTGCTCATGGTTAGCATAGTGCCCTCTTCAGAATGTCTAAAAGCAGGGCTTGGGCTGGCCTTGAAAGGGGTGCCAGGAACGGTGCTGGTGGAACCGAGAAGTAGTCCCAAGGAATACCATACTGGAGACCTGTCCATGCATCCCAGGCAGCCTGTGATTTGCTCTTTCCTGACTTTCGAATGCTTGATTTCATGACTTCAGGGTCCATTTCACAGCCAGTCGGTGTGTCGCGTACCCACCTACCTTGACACTCATCTTGGCCAGTGTGTGTTTGCATCCCAAGTGCTGATTATTTGTTTTCCTAGCAGTCAGTGCTCTATGCCTCCAACAGTTTTTGTGTTTTGACAGGAAAAGGTCACTGTTGATCATCTGTTAATTCAAAAAGCTATATTAACTGCTCTTAATCCATACAGAAAGTGCATGAACATTGTATTGTAGTCTTGAAAAATACTGGCAGGCTGTTGGCACCCTTGTATCTACACTGTGGGTAAAAGTGTTATGAGAGTTGGTTAAGAATGGGATTAGCTATATGCAGTTAAATGCATCCCTACTTGAAAAACAACTAGCAGACTTCTGTGCAGCCACTTTAGGTAAAAGGTAATGATTATAGCAGCACATTGCTACCTTGTAACCTCACATTTCTTAGATTTTAACACAAAAACTATTTTTAAAAGTCTTGAGTTACAGGAATAAGTTTATAATAAGAAAATTAAAAATATGAGTTGCTAAGATAATTCTTAATCACAGTGTGATCCATACCTCTGAATGTGTTTTTCCAGGCTATTTAAAGGAGACAAGACCTGTACTGTATTTTTTCATTATTAGTAACAGTGGAATCATACAAGATTCTCATACAGCTGACTATATAAACTATGAGTTGGGTTATTTTCCAGTCTACTTTAATTTGGGCTTCATAATTGCTCTCAGGAAAATTTATTTTTCCAAAGACTTTTTTGTCAGTTCTGAATAAACTGAGCATACTTTAAACACGTATCAGAATGGCGTTTGGAGGACTGAAATTTCAAGATGAACTGTCTACTTCAGAATAAAAAGGGTTTTTTTTAATGAGAACTAGATGTAAGCATCTGCGGTCCCAGTAGAAACATATCCAGTTTCTTCCCCTCTAGCAAGCAGCAAGATAGATACCTTGGTCCATTGGTTCTCCATAATTCTCCATGGTGGTTTTTACTGACCAAGAAAATGTACTGACCATGCTCTAGCTTGTATGGCCCCGAGGTGCAGGACCCACCTAGATTCACCCTTTCTAGCACCATGGTACTTGGGGGTGACATCACTGGCTGTTCGATGTTGTCACAAGGTGTAAGAATCTAAGACAGCAGGCATCAGCTGAGAAGTTTCCTGATGTCTTTCTACCCCAAGCTGTCTTCCATGAAAGTCAAGGAAAGCTCCCCAGGCTTCACTGTCTGTGTCTCTGGTCCAGCCCCTTGGTCAGAATGGGAAGCAGAAGCAGCACTCCTATAGCACAGTAAATGTTTGTGATCTATTGTCAGAGGAAAAAAAAAAAAAGATACATAGAGAAAACAGACAACTGTGAGCATTTACCAATCTGCATCTTTAGTCTGGGTTGAAAGGGGTTGGCATCCTACTGGGGTGCTAAACCTCTAATTCTGTTTTTTACCTTCCAGCAATAGAGTTACCAAATGTGTGATCAAATCAGAGCATGTGCAGAAATGCATTTTTGTGGGGAAAAAGGGATATAGACACAGAGTCACATTGTCCCCATTGAAATGTTTTTTGTGTATTTGAGGAAACCAGACTGTAAAAGGGGCTTTGTAATGGTAGGGAGAACAATGGTGTGTTGATTAGCAGGTCATCATCATGCTTCTCATGTTTATTGACCTCGCCTTAAACTGTTTTAATTCATTTCAGTAAAAACTTATTCTTTCTCCTTTGCCCCTTTGCCTGTACTTTCATGTTTATATCAGAAAGACATCAAGGTAAAGCTGGTTTAACAAAAGCCAGAGAACTAGGGAGCAAATGCTATAAACTGAGGCCTTGGGAGAATGCAGTAGATGGCCTTGCAGGGGACTCCCAAGGCAGAGAACTGTAGAATGGTTTGGGTTAGAAGGGATCTTAATGGACAGGGACAACTTTGACCAGGTTGCTCAAAGCCCCATCCAGCCTGGCCTTGAACACTGCCAGGGATGGGGCAGCCACAGCTTCTCTGGGCAACCTGTGCCAGGGCCTCACCACCCTCACAGGAAAGAATTTCTTCCTCATATCTAACCTAAATCTTCCCTCTGTCAGTTTAAAACTGTTACCCCTCATCCTATTCCTACAATCCTGATAAAATGTCCTTCCCCATCTTTCCTGTAGCCCCTTTAAGTACTGGAAGGCCGCTATAAGGTCTCCCTTCTCTCCTCTGGGCTGAACAACCCCAACTCTCTCAGCCTGTCCTCAGAAGGGAGGTGCTTCAGCCCCTGATCATCTTCATGGCCTCCTCTGGACCTGCTTGAGCACATTTGTGTCCTTCTCATTCTGGGGGCCCCAGAGCTGAACACAGCACTGCAGGTAGGGTCTCACAAGAGCAGAGTAGAGGGGGAGAAGCCTCTCTCTCGACCTGCTGGCCACACTTTTCTTGATGCAGCCCAGGACACGCTTGGCTTTCTGGGCTGTGAGTGCACATTGCTGTCTCACAGTCAGTTTTCCATCCACTAGTGCTCCCACATCCTTCCCTGCAGGGCTGCTCTCAATCCACTCCTCACCCAGCCTGTATCTGTGCTTGGGATTGCCCTGACCCACGTGCAGGACCTTGCCCTTGGCCTTGTTGAACTCCATGAGGTTTGCATGGGCCCAGCACTCAAGCCTGTCCAGGTCCCTCTGAATGGCACATCCCTTCCCTCCAGCGTGTTGACCTAATGTTTAATAAAAGTGAAAACAAAGAGATCCCACAGCGGGGCTGTGCAGAATTACTTAACATAATCTGATGCTTTATGAAGATGAAAGTAAATCTTTAAACACTTCAAACATCTAGGAAAAACTGGTCAGGAACAGTTTAGCAATACTTTCTAGTTATGAGCTGAAAATACATCAGTTTAAAGGAAAAGTAGGCCACTAAAACCATATTACAGGTTTGGAGCCATAGTGTGTATTTTCCCCTTAGATACATCTTTGGAGCTCATCAACTGATTGTTTAACTGCTATTAATTATTTGCAATCCTAGCATTGTTCCTGATGGTGTGTGGGTGTCTAGGCTTTCTTTTAACATTTTATTGGTTTTTAGTTTGTTCCAGCAGATGCATTCTGCTGCCTGTGCAGACTGTCAGCCCTACCATGCTTATGGACACTGCGTGATAGGTGCCCATTACCTCCACAAGACAGGGAGGGGAAATTGCTTCACCAAGTA